CTGTTCTGAGAGGTGGGAACGGCCTGGGGCTGGACTGGGGCTGGGCCGACACCAAGTGTCCCTGAACCCACTGAGTCAACGAGGGGGCCGCTCTAAGGCAAATCCTCCGTGTACATACCAAGAGAGGGAGGGACACCAAGGTCCGTTCCCCACAGTTCCACCGAGACCAGGGAGCTCTTCAAGATGAGATTTGATACCGAAAAAGAAGTGCACCATGTTTGTTTCGTCACATATAAAAGCGAAAATAACATGGGCAACTTCTTCTCAGGTACCAGCCATCAGTACTTCCTCTCCTCCAGCTGTCCACCTGGGTGTGAAGGGATACAGAGGGTTAGGGCGTGGTCGTGTGCTCGATCAAATGTGACAGCCATGGGCATGTGCTCACCTGGCAAGCTGGAAGCCCCACCAGGTGAGCTGAGACTGAGCAGAGGCGGACTGCACGAGAATCACCATGGACAAAGCAAACCAAAGACCGACTCCGTCCACTTCAGGATCCCAGGAAGTCTTCATGGGCAGAATTCAGTAATCGAGGCAGACGGGTTCTGGAATGTTGACAATCCACCGCACAAATGCTCATGGAGAGCGTCATTTCAGAGAAGATGGGACGGTCCTGGACCTTGCAGAAGAATCTCTTTCAGGAGTCAGGGGTGCCAGTAAGTCTTCCTCTGGACAGCTGGGAAAACAAGGATAAGGAATTCAGTGAACTAAGCCAGCGATGCAGCATTAGCTCTCAGTCAGCCCATCTGCTCATGTGACCTGCGTGATCTGGACTTCTCTGTCGCCTCCCTAAAGGGCTCCTGTTTCCTCGGAGACATGGTTTGGTTCTCAAACACTAGCAGCTCGATGTGACTTGTGACCAATACAACAAACCTATCACAATAGCTTCCCCACAGTCGGCATCTCTTGTAGGAAGTCCTCCCAGGAAGAGATGGATACTGGGGTCCACCACCCTTCAGGACTCCTGGAGAGGAGCCCATGGCCCCTCCCGGGATGCAAAATACATTAATTGTGCATTATTTGTCATTCATAAGTTAAATCACTGGGATCACTCACGTTTTTGAAGTACAAACACAGTAAGTCCATAAGAAAAAGTCATCTTTCACCAAGATCCCATCCTTAGATAGGAACCAAGAGAAACACATGCTTGAAAGAATGCAGGTTTTTCTAGTCACACTGACAGCAGTTTGGTATCATCTGCAATATCACAGGTAAGATAAAACCCAACTCAAATTGGCTTAAACAATAAAGGGATGTATAGATTTACAGAACTAAAATGTACAGAGGCATGAAAGCTTCAGGCAGGGTTTGATCCAGGGACTCAAACAATGTCACCCTGGTCCCAGTTCCTCTCTGGCTCTCTAATATGCCCTTCATGGTACAGGCCTCCTCTTCTGTGTCTGCACAGCTCCATACACTCCCCTCTTAACCTTTAAATGGCAGTGGGACTTTCAAAGCTCACAATATCACATCACGCAGATGAAGGGAACAGAGAGGGTCTACTCTGCTAGCCCTCACAGGAAAGAGAAATATTTCCTTTCCCAGAAGCCCCAGAAAACATCTCCTTGCATCTCTTTGGCCTGTGGGGTTGGGGCTCCTTTTGGAGCCACTCACAGTGGCAAAGAGGATGGACTGAGGACCTGGGCCAGTAGGGGGAAATCCAACCTAAGCCACAGGGAGAAAGAGCTGTCATAAGAAAAACCACGGGAAACTTAAGAAGGAAGAAAGGACACAGAGTGGCAAAATCGTGGCCAATGTCTCCTGTAAGGGCCAACATGTCTTCCCTGAAGTTGGCCTCCGGACCAAGAAGTCTTCATGGCAGGAGAGGGTACTGAGGAAGAAGTGCACCGCGAATGTTTCGTCACAAATAAAGCGAAAAAGACACGGGCAGCTTCTCACTAAGCACCGCACGTCAGCGCCGGCAGCAGCGTCTCTGGCCTGAGGTCGTCGTCACTCCGGCGGACTACCTGAGACCAAACGGGTCCTGCTCCTGCACCTGGCAACATGCGACAAAGACATGACCTTGCCTCCAGGGCAAACCCCACTTCTTGCACCTTGGGGTGCTCTCACAGGGGTGCCCCCTCCATGCAGGTGGCATGGGGTCCAGGAGGTTCTCGTTTGCAGGATTTGTGCAATTCATCGTTTTTTAAAATGAAGTCTCCTCCTCACTATCACAGAATGACAATGACTCAGAAACACTAACTTTTTTTCCCCAAAAGTCCTCCTAGGGATACATGAGGAGAGACGAGGAGGAGCCATGTGGTCAACTATCGACTCCGCTAGCGGGGCAGACAGCGATATGGCTTCCCTGATGGGGCCCTGAGCCAGTCTTCATGAACCGGACACCAAAAAAGATGTTTTCATGTTTGTCGGAAAAAGAAAACAACTCATGGGCAGCACTGCCTGTTGAAGTGGAATGACCAAGGGCCCTGAAGTACACAGCATCACCCTTGTTGACCCGCCTTAGCTCGAGATGTGCCCCCCACAGCACCCAGGAAACTGGAGGCTATGAGTGACAGACGAAAGGTGCAGAAAACCCAAGTTCTCAGTTGGCCCCTGTGGATGACTGACTCATTGCCTCCGAATCCTCACCCAGCCCTGCACCCACATCCCCGCCATGACCTCCTCACAGGTGGCACGTCCTTCCCCCACCCTTGTCTTTGGGCCTGGCCATGTGACTTGCTTTGGCCAATGATATATGGGCAGAAACATAGGCCCCTGTGGATGACTGACTCATTGCCTCCGAATCCTCACCCAGCCCTGCACCCACATCCCTGCCATGACCTCCTCACAGGTGGCACGTCCTTCCCCCACCCTTGTCCTTGGGCCTGGCCATGTGACTTGCTTTGGCCAATGATATATGGGCAGAAACATGTCTCAGAGCCTCAGTCATAAGAGGATTTTGCATTTCCACTTACTTTCTAGAGCCTCTGCCACCACCATGAGAACATGCCAGGTGGCCCAGGAGAAGGGTGAGCAGCGTGGAGTCCTACCTCACCCCCAGGGGAGGCCTCGTCTCCAGAAGTCATCCTAGGTATGCAAGGGACACATAGGATTAGTGTATCAGGAGGCGAATATCCTGAACAGAACGTGTGCTCTCCGACGTCACACCCACTTCCACACCTCTCCATGGACGATAACTCCAACATGCCTCCCCTGAAGTTGCTGTCCCATCCAGAACGCATCTCAGGCAGGGTCTGATATTGAGAAGCACTTGCTCTCCGACGTCACACCCACTTCCACACCTCTCCATGGACGATAACTCCAACATGCCTCCGCTGAAGTTGCTGTCCCATCCAGAACGCATCTCAGGCAGGGTCTGATATTGAGAAGCACTACTTGGTGTTTGGTCCTCATAAGTCAAGCAAAGCTGGACAACAGACATAGCAAAGCTGGACAACACAATGACAAAGTCTCTTTCCCCAGGTAATGAGTGTGGACTTGAAGTTTGCCCGGGGCGGGGCTGGATTTGGAGGGGTAACGACCCAGGAGGGGCACAAAACAACCATGCCGCAAGCGTTACTCACCAGTGGTGGCGCTGACACCAATGGCCCCGCCTGAAATCTGGCTTCACATCCAGGAAACCTTCCAGGGTGGTGTTTACTACTAAAAAGAGATGGACCATGTAACATTCATCGCACTCATGGCGAGCTCGTCCGATGGCTTCTCTTCAAACACCACAGGATGAAGTCAATAGCACAACCGCACATGCTCCCCGCAACAGCGCTGTCTCACACACACAGCGCCCCCCAAGCCCTCCCAAGGACCAGGTAACACACACATCCCGCACTTGGCATGGGCCGTGGGGTGCACCTTCCCTTGTGGGGCGCTGACACCACGGCCTCCTTCCTAACATTGTCTGAGGTTGGGCTAACAGCCCTCCCGGGCATGATTTCACACTAAGGAAGAGATTATTCATGGATGATTGGTTATATTTATTTTTCAAAGGTGGGAGGGGAGGCCCCCATGAAGTGCATCCACTCTAAATCCTGCACGTTCACACTGGCCCCCAAGTTTCCCACGTCTTCTCCAAAGTTGCCATGAGCACCAACATGTCATCCACAGATGGACTGGGCGCTGATGGATAGTCAAACGGGTGACCTACAACATAAATGAAGTGCACGTCACCAGTCTACCATCCCCTCAGCTACCCTGTAGAGTGGCTGGCACTACTGTCCTTTCAGTGACGTTGTTGGTATGTCCAGAAAGCCATCCGAGCAGGACCTCCCACCATGAGTCATAAAATAGACAAAAACCACAATGTGCAACCTCCCTCCACCATGGATGCACGGTCCTTTCAACAAACTTGGTGTCCTTTCCAAGGAGCCCTGCACAGGAGGGCTGGATCCTGAGGGCTACGCACACACGACACATGTCACACAGTCCACCTTCCTTGTGCCTACCCACAGTGAAGCTGGCAACGTCCCTTCCCTGAAGGCTGCATCAGGAACAGAGAAGTGCCTCCAGGGTGGGATTTGATACTAAAAAAGAGGTTTCCCGTGTATGTTTCATCATAAATAAAGAGAAGACAACACGGACAACCTCTCCTTCGAGTATCTTAGTTTAGCACTGATCAAAAGACAAATAAAAACAAAAACAAAACTGCGGAATCTTCGCTGATGCTGGTGACACCTCCAGGAAGTTTTCCCAAGTCCCCATTGCACCGGGCAAACCAGATGTCATACGTCTCACAGAAGAGGACAGATTGGTTCACATAACATTCATGCACCACATAACAAGTGTTCCAGAGTGGTTTCTGGAGGTCAGCCAAAAAACCCTTTGAGACTTGATACTGAAAAGAGGTTGTCCAGGAGATATTTTTCACCAATACAGAGAACATTTTTCTTGGTGTTGAAGCTTCTTCTGGAAGTCCCTCAGGCTTCAGGGAGTGCCCCCAGTAATAATGGTTTGTGTCCCGAAGTCAGTGCATAGGGAGAGCTCACAAATAAATCTCAAATTCTGTGGTCAAGAGGCAGGTGGCGTGGTCTGCAGTGAGTCAGCACCCAGCCCCTGCATGGAACTGGCTGTGGGTCCAAGCAGTCTTCCAGGCAAGGTGTGATTCTAAAAACAGATGTATGGCATCAGATTAGTTGTAAATACGGTGAGTGTCCCTTACAAGCTCCTGCTGAGAAAGGTGGGGGAGCCAGGCCCCATCCTCCAGATCAAACACCCCTTCATGCCTTCCACTGCCTTCCATTTAATTTAGTAAAGTTAAGAAATAAAAACAAGTTTCATTTCCTGAAGTTACCTTGCCAAATGTTTGCACCAATTCCAGGTTGGTTTTTCTGTTTGCTGTGAAACTCCTTCTACCATAATCTTTTCACGGTAGGGAGGACATTGATAATTCCAGACTCTTTTTCATTTCAGCAGAGTTAGACCAATTCTGACAGGATTGGAGAATCAAGGAGTTGAGAACAGGAGTCAAGAATCAAGGGACAGAAAATTCCAGAACAGAGGACAGAGAAGAGAGTCGCCAAGCCTCATAATCTGTCTTCTGGTCCCTGCTCAGCCACCAGAGTGCCCAGTCTGCATGGACACAGCAGCCCCCGTCCTGGGTACATCACAGGCAATGGCATGTGTGCAGCTGTCACATCTCCTCCACCTTCTCTCTCTTTTCTCTCATTGGAGATTTTTTCAGGTGGAAGGAATAGTGTTTGGGCATCAGTTAATATGAAAGATTGTCATGCCAGTCCTCGCGGCCACTACCTCTGTTCTGGCTCTAATCAAATAAAGTAGGGTTGAAGGAGAAAAACTTGGCCCTTCTTCAGAACCTGATGTCCTCCACCCAAACAAGCCCCTTCCCCAAATGCCACAGATAAGTCCAGAACCCAGAGTCACAACCTAATGCCATCAAAAGAAATGCACCACCAACAACCTACTTCTGGGGCCTTGGCTTTAGAGCCAGCAAAGAACCACTTCCTTCCTGGGGGGTTGGCATCAATCCACAAAGTCCTCCTGAAAAGGACTGGGCACCAAGCATCGCCACCAGACACAATGGGCAGGCAGCGGAAGCGCACGTCTCATCTCACACGCCCTGATGGGGTGGACCACTTCTGTCTTGCCAGGGAAGCCTTCCAAGCTGGCATTTGATACTGAGGAGTGGTTGGAGGAAATGATTTGTCACAAAAGAAACAAATCCACAAGAGGAATCTTCTCCTCAAGTATCATAGAGAAGAACCATCTACAGAAACTCAGCGATTTCCCTGACGTGGGCACCAGCTCCTCAGGATAGACTGCATACGTGGCCGGTGGACCAGGTGTGGCCCTGGTAAAGCGCACACCCTATGGTCAGCCTTCCACTCACTTCTCCTGGATCAGGGCAGATGACAAAGCCTCTTCCTTCAAGTTTGCAAAACATCAAGCATTCCTCCAGATTTAAAATAAATCAACTCCAGAATTCTTGTTAGAAATAAACAGTCCCAGCCCAGGCCAGCTCCTGGGACCCCAAAGTCTCCTCCTGATCTCAGAACCAGCTTTTCTTCCCTAAGGTGTCCTTATGTCAAGAACATCATTTCAGAATAAACTGGAGGCAGAGGGCCATGTTTGAGGCCACCCACACGGCTGTCCAGGGCATGCTGTCTGTGTGGTATGCGTTTATCTCCTGCGAGCCTAGCTAACTCCATGACCATCACTGAAGGTGACAAAGACCAGCCATTCCTCCAAAGCAGGGCTGGATACTGTAGTAGGTTGGCTGTGTGTGATTCATCAGAAGCAAGGTGAGTGCAGCCTCACATAACCTACCTGCACGTCCCAGGTGTAGAGCTGTCCTGGTGACCACTGTCTTCCCCCAGGTGGGCATCATGTTGAGGAGTCCTCCTAAATAGGGATAAGATATTGAGGGTTAGTGGAATGGGTGAGAAACATCAGAAATAAGGGGCAGGCTCTGTGCTCAACTATTTATCCATGTCCATTTATTTATGTTCACAGCGTCCCCTCCCTGAAGCTCAGGTCTGGACCAGAAGTCCTCCAAGGTGGGATCTGATACTGGAAAAGAGGTTAACCAGGTGTGTTTCATCCTCATTAAAGAAACAGAAACCCAGAAAACCTCTCTTCAGGTACCACCAATTAACACTGACAAGACCACCAGTGATTCTTCCTGATACTGGAAAAGAGGTTAACCTGATACTGGAAAAGAGGTTAACCAGGTGTGTTTCATCCTCATTAAAGAAACAGAAACCCAGAAAACCTCTCTTCAGGTACCACCAATTAACACTGACAAGACCACCAGTGATTCTTCCCCAAACTTGACATTCGGTCCTGGAAGTCCTGTTAAATATGTATTGGACACTGAGGGTTAGTAGAACAGATGACATAAGTCAAAATAATAAGGCACAAGCTGTGTGATCAACCACAGACTTCGGTCCACTGGATGGGAGCTGACAGTAACGCCCTTCCCTGAAGCTGAGGTCTGGACCAGAAGTCCTCCAAGATGGGATTTGATACTGGAAAAGAGGTTAACCAGGTGTGTTTCATCCTCATTAAAGAAACAGAAACCCAGAAAACCTCTCTTCAGGTACCACTGATTAACACTGACAAGACCACTGATTCTTCCCCAAACTTGACATTCAGTCCTGGAAGTCCTGTTAAATATGGAATTGCACACTAAGCGTTAGTTGATTTGCTGGAGTAAGCCATTAGTGGCATGCATGCTGTCCATCAACCATCCATCCAAGTGCCCCAGTGGAGCAGACCCCCATGGAACATTCTTGAAGTTAGCATCATGGCCAGAGGGTGAAGATACAGTAGAGAGGCTGGTCATGGGAACTGTCACATTTATGGTTAACCCCCAGGGCAATCTTTTCTCAGTTACTGGAGAGAGGCTCAGATGCCCCAAACCAAGACCGACTCCAAGGTCGTCCCAAGGACTCAGTGGACACTGAGCTGTGGTGGGCCAGACGACCTGTGTTATCAATAAAGTGCATACACTGCAGTCAGCTGATCACTTGAGCACTTTGGGATGGTGTAGACAGCATGCCCCTTTCTTGAATTTGGATGGCCCCAAGTCTAGGAAGCCCTCCAAGGAAAGAGATGGTACTGAAAATAAGTCCAAGCCTGCCATATTTGTCACATGTGAGGTGAACGCCTCGACGATGCTCTCTCTTCTGAGTCTAGCAGAGTTGCAGCCGGCCCCAGTTTACTGTTTCCCCAGAAGTTGACACCTCTTCCAGGAAGTTCTCCAAGGGAGGATTAGATACTGAGGGTTAGTGGACCAGGTCACAAACGGCACAAATAAAGCGTGTGCTCTCTGGTCAACCATCTCATGTATCCAGGCACGTGCTGATGCCACTCTCCTTGTCCTCAAGTCACCCCTGCCCTCGAAGCCGCCAAGCCAGAGAAGTTTGCTGAGAAGAAGGCTGCCACACACGGGTTATTGTCACACACAGGACAGACACATCACAGACCCCGCTGGGTTGCACTGAGCGCAGACCTAGGGTGCCCACCCCACAGTTGATGTTAGCTCCGAGAAAGCTTGCAAGGCGGGATTAGATACTGCAAAGAGGTCGACCGTGTAATGTGCGCCATAAATAAAGCGAACGCGCCACGGACCACCTCTCTCCAAGTACCAAGCAGCAGCAGTATTGACACCAGGACAGTGGCTCTTCCTCAAAGCTGATATCACCTCCTGGAAGTCTTCCAAGGCGAGATGTGATATTGAGAAGAAGTAGACCATGTGTCCTACGTCATAAATAAAGCGTACACACCATGGTCAACCGCATCTTCAAATACCATGAAGTGACACTGACCCCTGCCTCTCTTCCCTTAATTTAGTATCACCTCCGGGAAGCCCTCACAATGTGCATCATGAACTACCAGCAATTAGCAAATGTGGCAATGACCACAAACCATGTCCAATGTGGCTACCACCTCCAGGATGCCCTGTAAGACTGGGATAGGGTGCCGAGCATTGGTTGGGAGACCAAGTGGCCAAAGTCATAAATAAAGCACATGATCTGCAGCCAACCACCCTGTCATCTACACTGGACAGAGCCTACCACACAGGCCCTGCTCTCAGGTTGGCATGGCCTCCAGGAAGCCCCGAGACTGATGCTGAGAATTAGTGGACCATGTTACATACATCATAAACAATGCGTACGCTTTATGGTCTACCATCTCTCCAAGGACTGTGGAATGGTGCTGAAGCCAGACCTGTGTGTCTTCCACGAAGTTGGCTTTGCCTCTGGGAAGCCCTCTGTGACTGAATTTGATATTGAGAAGATGTGGACCATATTACATACGACACAGAGATAGCGCATGTTCTATGGTCAACCATCTTTTCAGGTACCGTGGAGAGGGCTGATGTCAGAACCGGCGTCTCTTTCCTCTCGTTAGCAACACCTCCAGGAAGCCCTCTGAGGCTAGACGCAGTATTGAGAAGAGGCCACCATGCAATGTCTGCTACAGATGCAGTGGACGCAGCACAGAGGAACCCCTCGAGGACCCACAGTGGAGACGACGCCGGGGCTAGTGCTCTGCCTGACACTTAGTATTGCCTACAGGAAGCCCCCCAAGGTGCATTCACTGTTATGAAAGGGTGGACCCGGTAGCATGCATTGTAAGTAAAACATATGAAGCATGGTCAACTTCTACTAAGCACCCTGAGGCAATGCTGGTACCAGAACTGGTGCCTCGTCTCCTGGGGTTGAAATGACCTCTGGAGAGCTCCAAGGCTGAATGTGCTATTGAAAAGAAGTAGACCATGTTACATACGCTGTTAATAAAATACATGCAGTGTGGTTGAACCCTTTTCAGATACCGTGAGCTCGGTGCTGACGCCAGAACCAGTGCTCTGTCTCTTAGGGTGGCTGCATCTTCAGCAAGTTCTCCGAGGCTGGACTGGAGATAGGGAAGAAGTGGGCCAGGGAATGTGCTTTATCTGTAAACATACATGGTGGGATCAATCAGATCTTCATGGAGGGCCAATGCTGGGTCCAAAACTGGGGCATCTTCCCCCAAGATGGCTAGACTTGATATGGAAAAAAGATAGACTGTACACGCATCATCAGTGACAAAAACGAGTCAGCGTGTCTTCAAGTACTGGGAGTGGCACCGCCTCGTGCACCCAAACTGTCCCTACATGGGCATAATATCCTGAAGTCATCTGAAGACAGCTTTGAGGGTAATGAGAGGCAGCCTGTGTAATATCCCTTGTTCATGAACATTTAGGGCACCAACCACTGTTTCTTCAAGTACTATGGGGGAATGTACTTGAATGTACAAGGCTGGAAGCAGGACACCTTCCTGGAGGTTATCACTGTCCTGAGGAAGACCTTGGAGGCTGCATTTGACACTGAGGAGAAGATTGTGTCACAAGAATTAACAGATAAAAGCACCATCTAACCATCTCCCATTCTGCCAAGTACCATGGCACGGGGAGGTTACTGAGACCAGCGTCTCTTCTCTAACTTCAGGCTCTCTCCAGGATGGTTTGGATGGCTGGGCAGGATACCAAGAAGCGGTTTACCGTCCCACATACATACTCAAAATGTATGTGGGACGGTAAACCATTTCTTCAAGTACCGCACGATGGCAGTGATGGCTGGAGGAAGGCTCATGTCCACAGAGTTGCCTCAGGGCAACCTCTTCAAGGCTGCATCAGAGGCTGAGAAGAAGCAGGTCATTGCATCTACTAAACAAGAGTTGCGTAGTCAACCATGTCAATGGATGCCATGAAACAGCACTGATCACGGAAAGAAGCAACGTCTCCTCCCCAGAGATGGCGAGATTTCCCAAGGCAGAACTTGATATAAGAAGAGGGAGATTATGTCATTTCGCATCATGCAGAAAAAAACATGCCATACAGAAAACCATCTCTTCAGGTGTTATGGAGAAGCCCCAACGGTGGGTCCAATGGCGCCTCCCCGAAGACGGCGTCGTTTCCAGGAGCCTCGGGGATGGATTTGATACTGAGGGTTAGTGGACCGTGTTACATACGTCACAGATAAAGCGTACGCTATACGGTCTACTATCTCTCCAAGTACCACACAGAGACGCCGAGGACAAAGGCTGAGGACACGTCCAGAAAGCCCTCCTAGGCTTTGAGCTGGGTGGATCAGAGGGCAAGTCGAGCACAACACATGCATCACACGACAAGCACACACAGGCTAGGAGTCTGGTCTTCATGGTCAGGGGTCAATGCTGACGCTGGAACCAGTGGCTCATCCCCAAAATGGGCAACTCCTCCAGGAAGCCCTCCAGAGTTGGAAGTCCCACTGAGCAGAAGTGGACAATGCTACGGGTTTCATCACTCCAGCAATACTGATTAAGTGCCTACTCTGTACAGGCACTGCGCTGGGTCTGAAGGAATGGGCAGGTGGGCACAGTGGGAGCAAGGGCACGGCATGTGGCTAACAGAACTGTGTGGGGGAGTGGGGAGCAAAGTCAGAAATGTAAAATGGCCTGTGTGCAACCAAAAAGAACACCTGTCTCGTTAAACTGAGCAGGCCAAACGAATATTACCGGGGCACTGCCTGTTTGTGAGCCCTAGTCTTGGACATAAAAAAAAAAAAGTCTGCCACATGGCCTTATATGCCTCAAACTCAGGGGCATTTCCAGGAGGTCCTCTTAGACTGGATTGGATTCTGAGCAGTAACCACCATGCCATCTTCATGAACAAAGCAGGTGTCATTTTGGTCTCCCACCTCCCTAAGGTCAGAACCACTGTCTCATCCCCAAACTCGGCACTGCCTCTGGAAAACCCTGAGACTGAACATATTGATAAGAGGTGGACATTAGTACAGACATGGGAAACTCCAACATAGGGAAGCATCTCTTCAATGCCTTGGAGCATGATGGAGGCTCAACTGGTGGGTCCCCCT